ACATAGTTGGAATTCTTCTTGGTGATGTCCAATTCAAGGTAGCATACCAAAGTCTTTTAGAAGTTCTGCAGTCAATTTTTCTATGGGACTCTCTATAACCCAAACTTAGAGAATTGGAGATGGTTTTGACGTCTCTGGACATTGTTCTTGGATGCCTCCATGTCCATCTTCAGAGTCCCACTTAACCCTTGTGGATCCTCTTCCTTTTTCAATTTGACTCAGAGAAAGACATATGAGGTTGTTCTGTGAGGACCTTTACAGCTTTTCATCTGTGTCAGAGCATTGTCATCTGGTTGTGCTTTCCTTGGAAGTAAATAGAAGTGAATCAAGGGGCCCTATTTACAGTCTGACATTATCTTCCTGGACTCTGGTAAAAGGAAATTCTAGGCCAAGCCAAGGGTCCTTGGGGAATGAAAGGCATTGGGGTTTTCTGTGTTTACAAAGCAAGTCCGGCCTTGTCAAACTGGCAATTACATCCTCAAATTCTTCTTACCGATAAACCTATATATGCATGTATTTGCACAAACAAATATACTCTCTGCATTCTGAATTGGAAGCTTTTTCTGTTAGCTTAGAGAACTGTAGGTTTGGTTTTAAAAAATGACTTTGTTTTACTCAGAAGAAACAGCAGGATTAAAAGAAGTCAGCATCATAGGGAGGAAGTTGGGAAAGTGCAGTTATGTTGTAGGAACTGAAGGAATGTTACTGAACAGTGTATGAATGGTTGAGTGAAAAAGTAATTGTATTGTAAATTTTCACTGAAATCACAATACAAAATAAAAATTTTTAATTATTTTGTTCTTAATTTACTACTGATTTTTTTATAGCCCCGCATTGCTTGTCTTTTTCCTAGACTTCTTTCTGACATTGATTTTGGTCTTTTCTTTTTTTTTGCTATCACTTTAATGATCTTTTGTTTTCTTCAAATATGACGTTTTTATGTATCTCACAACTTGTCTGATATTCAGTCATTAGTCTTCAGCACATCAAATCTGTTCTTCAAATCTTGTTCTTGAAATGGCTCTAAATTCAAGTGGGTTCTTTTCTATTGTGTGATTAAATTGCCTCTGAAAACCCCCAGAAGGGGCAGCTGTGGATGAGACCTGGCTCGATGGTCTGTCTAACAACAACATCCCCAAGGTCATACTTTGACTCTCGTAGACTTTTTCATTTTTTTTTCTTAATTTCAAATTAAACTTGTATATAAACAATGTATAGTCTACAACTCAGTCAGCCTTTGACTGTGTTCTAACTGATAATATTTAGCTGTCAGTCTCTGGTGACTTATATGTTGTTGGGATGCTGGAACCTTTAGACCTAATATTTCAAATGGGTGGGGTCACCCTTAAGGGGCAGGTTTGAGTATAGCTTCCCAACTAAGAAACTAACAAGAAAGACTGGTGAGCTACTCCTGAAAAATTTGGCCAGTGAAAATCTTAGCCGAATATTGTCTGAAATAGTGTCAGAAGACAAGCCTCTCAGGTTGGAAGGCCCTCAAAATAGAATTAGGAAAGAGCTGGTTCCTAAAAGTAGAGTTGATTTTAATATCGTAGGCAGAATACTACTTTCGGCACCTTCTTTTGCTGATATGGCACAACTAAAATGGGAAGAAACCTATTCATAATTAAAACATAGGATTATGAAATATAAATGTAAGAAAATTTCATATTGTCCAAAGTGAAGTGGAATGCATAATGTTTGATATCCTAGGCAGTACTGAGCTGAAGTGGGCTGGTATTGGCCATTTTGAATCAAATAATCTTATCATCTAATATGCTAGAAATGGCGAAGTGGACTAGTGTCACATTCATCATCACAAAAAACATTTCAAGATGTTTTACTGAAGTCCAGTGCTATCTGTCAGTGACAGAATATCTGTCCACTTATAAGGAAGACCAGTTAATATATCTACGAATCACGTTTGCTTATTGATCATGAATTCTAAAGATGAAGGAATAAAAAATTTACTAACATCTGCAGTCAGAAACAAATTAAGCATGCAGTCAAGATGCATTGATAATCGCTGATGATCGGAATATGAAAGAAGCAAAGAAGAAGGATCAATAGTAGGAAAATATGACTTGGGTAATAGAAATTAGACAATTTTTCCAGACCAATTAGTTATTCATTGTGAATACCTTTTACCAACAACACAAGCAATGACTACACATGGGTCTTGAGGAATGGGATATACAGGATCAAACTGGCTGTACTGTAGTGAGAGGATGGAGATGCTCACCATCGTCAGTTAGAATAAAAGCCGGGTTACAAAGCAGACCTCAGATGATTTACAATGAGAAAATCCAACCTGCAGGGCGTATTGTGAGTTCACAGTTGTGAAAAATGTTATGGTTAAGGGAAGTAGAAAAGACAGTGTGTTCCTTCTCAGGTATTAGATTTATGTTCATGTATTAAATGCAAATGAGCAGTAAACTTCCCTACTAAAAGAGTACAGCCTAGGATATGGAGTTCCTAGAAACTGGTCCCGTTGAGTCTCCCTGCATACATTGTTTCTTCCCTCAGGGCCAGCTTCCTTGGAAATGAAATCCAGACTAAGCATTTCCCTATCTGCATGGCATTAAGAAATTCCATTGAATATGTTGTTGTTATGTGCCGTTGAGTCACTTGTGACTCATAGCGACCCTATGTACAACAGCCCTAAACTCTGCTCTGTCCTGTGCCAGTCGAACTGTCTCTGACACTCCCATCCCGATTACCCCAGTCATTGAATCAGTTCACCTCATAGAGGGTCTTCCTCTCCTGCGCTGTCCCTCCACCCTACCAAGCATGATGTCCCTCTCCAAGGACCTGTCCCTTCTTACAACATGTCCAAAGTATGTTAGACAAAGCTTCAGAATCCTTGCCTCCAAGGAGCCACCCAGTTTAATCCTTTCCAGGATGAATCTGTTTTCCTGGCAGTCCATGGTACTCTCAATACTCTTCTCCAGCACCAAATCTCAAAGGCATCAATTCTCCTTCTATCCTCCTTGGTCATTGTCCAACTCTCTGATGCATAACAATTGAATATACGCTGAGAAAATGAGAACTGAGACACAAACTGAAATTTGAACACCAGTGTTCATAGCAGCATTATTCACCATCACAAGAACATGGAAACAGCCCAAATGTTGAACCACAAATGAATGGATTGAGAAATTATGGAACATTCACATAATGGAATACTATGCAGCACACAGGAACAATGATTTTGTAAATTATTATCTAGCTTAAGAGAAACTGGAGAGAACTAACTATGCTGAGTGAACTAACTCAGTCCCACGAGGATAAAGTATAAAACCATTACTGTAGACAGAGTATAAGGATCCAAGAAGGGTGGGAGAGGGTTGAAGCAGAGGGATGAGGATGTGCAGGGTGCAGGGGGGGAACTAATCATGGGGGAAAGTGGAAAAAATTTGTTCTTGAAAACAATGTATTCAAATTTTGTAAATAAACTAGTAGAAAACTTTAAAAAAAAAGAAAGTCCATTGAAAAAGATGTGGTAATGTAATGGAAAAAGCAATGTGGGTCCTGAAAGCCAGCACATCTGGGTTCAATTTGTGGTTGGTGGATTAGGGGTAAGGAGTTGCACTGCCGACCCAAAGGCACACAGTTTGAATCCACCAGCTGCTCTGCAGGAGAAAGATGGACCGTCTCCTTTTGTAAGATTTACTGCCACTGAAGACCCTCTGGAAGGTCAGCTGTGGATCAGTTCCAGCTTGATGGTACATAACAACAGCCACCTCCGATTAGTGTGATTGTCGGTCAGTCACTTATTTCCTCTCAATTTTTTCATCTGTAAAATGAGGGTAACTATAAAGACCTGCTTTATGGATAAACTGAGAAACTCCTGTGATGTGCTTAACATACCCTGTCATGTGGCAGTAAACGTTAACTATTATACTGGTAAATATTTAGTATTATAGGATGTTCTGGTAGCCAGGTGGTAAAGAACTGTGCATGCAGTGTGAATTCACCAGCGGTTTTGTGAGAGAAAAATAGGCAGTTTCCTCCTGTGTGATTTACTGTCTCTGCAAACCCACTGTAGGGTCAGTTATGAGTTGGTTCCGACTCTGTGGGCCCTAACAACAACATACTTACTGCAGAGAGTTCCAGTGGCGTAGTCTGGAGGGAGCTGCACTGCTGACCCAAAGGCAGTGCCTCTCTGGAGGTTCAAGTCCACCAGGGTCTCCTCAGGATAAAGATGGGCAGTCTTCTCCCTTGAAGTGTACATAGAGCCTTAGAACTCCACTGGAGGGTCAACTTGGAGTCGTTTACAACACAACAGCAATGAGTTGATATATACAACAATGAACATTTTAAAAAGGTATTATTATCAGCTACTTTTCATGAGGACTATATGAGATATTGTTAGACCTGCATGTAATAGGTGCTTACTTAACTATTGATGCCTCTCTCTTTAAGATCACCTTTGGCAGCGTTTCTACCATTCATGATTCCATCTCATTGTTGATGGGGAGTTGTACAGAAAGACACTCAAAACTGCCTGAAGGGAGCTCTGGTGGCCTAGTGGCAAGAAGCTGCACTGCAATCATAGAGCTACACGGTTCAAATCCACCAGATGCTCTGTTGGAGAAGGAGCGGAAATCTCTTGTACTAGGCAGATCTGATTTGACAGTACACACACAAAAAATAATAATAAATTTTTTTAAAAAGGCTTGAAGAATCAAATTGTTTTCAGACCTTTTTGAGCCCTCTGTAATCATATATTTACTTGTAATCAATAGAGCTTGTTGATTTCAGTTCATTAAATCACATGCCCTAAAGACTTTTATCTTGTACAGATTTATCAGATAATTAGCTGAAATTAGTACAGTGTTCTCCATAATTATTTTGCTGGCAGTTTATAAAATGTGCTCAGGCCACCACACGAATTATAAACATCCGTTTGAAAGTCAGAACATAAGATTGCCCAGGAAGGTTCTTTCTAAGTTTTTCCCTCTTTCTGATAGGTCACAGATCCTTATAGAAGCTGTGAGACAAGGACAAGTTCTCCTACAATGTCGTACAGACGGGAACTAGAGAAATACCGAGACCTGGATGAAGATGAAATCCTCGGAGCCCTGACAGAGGAAGAGCTCAGAACCTTGGAAAATGAGCTGGATGAGCTGGACCCTGATGTGAGTAGGCATGCATTGCAAACAGAAACAGGCAAGGGGGACACACAGTTACAGGTACAGGAACGCACGATTACAGACACAGGCACAGAAGTGGCCTCCTGGCGAAGGACAGATGACACATCCCTGTCTTTTCTCTTCTGTCTTCTGTGGCAAAGACATTGGCTTAAGCACTGTGTCCATCCTGAGGGTTTTTTGTTTTGCTTTGTTTTTAATGTGTTACGGAATGCACTGGATGAGAAATTAAAAGAACCCCTTTCACTCATTTGATGTTTTATCATAGCATTTCAGAGTTGGCACATTTAGGAAGTTTTCTTTAGTGCTCGGTTTTCACCTCTGCAGTCAGGATGCACAGCCTCCAGGGGCTTGTCCTGTAGGTAGTTTGACCAGCTGGCCACATGGGAGCCCTGAGCAGGGCAAGGGAAGAATTGGTTGATGGCCTCATAGAGAGAGACTTTTGTCCTGTATCATGATCCCAGGGACCCATGTCTGTGCCCAGCACTGAGCAATACTTAGTGAATAGTAATTAAATGAGTTTTACATTTGATATATTTCTAAATAAAAATGATGTTTTACTTTCTTTGTTTTAGAACCTCTGTTGCTAAACTTGAATTCAGCAGTAGTCCATAAAGAAAACAACACTTTAGTCTCTTTTTCATTAACCTTCAAATAATCTCTGCTAATGTAGTCCATAGGGAGCTCTGGTGTCCCAATGGTGAGAAACTGCACTGCAATCCCCAAGACATGCAGTTTGAATCCACCAGCTGCTCTGCAGGAGATGACGGATGGACAGTCTCCTCCTGTGTGATTCGCTATCTCTGAAACCCCACTGGAGGGTCAGCTATGGGTCGGTTCTGATGGTACACAACAACAACAGCAACTCAATATAGGCCTTGTAGAGAGGCCTAGTGGTCTGGAGTTGGGCGGCCAACTCAAAAGACGTGTGTTTTAAGTCCACCAGCAGCACCATGGGAGAAAGTTGGGCAGTCTCCTCCCATGCGATTTACAGCCTCTGAAGGTCCACTGGAGGTCAGCTCTGAGTCAGTTCTAACTCCACAGTACATAACGACAACAACGTAGTCTGTAGGAAGTTGAGCTGAGGTGGTTTGTGAGAAGACAGTATTAGTGGCTCAAGGCTTGGGTCTCCTTCTAGCATCCCTACACCATCTTTCCTCATTAAACTGAGTCTCAGTAAAATAAGTGCTATCAGCGACGAACAATCAGGCTTTTTGCTTTGTCACTGTAAAATTATTCTGTTCTAATTCTATCCACTGTCGCATAGAATTACAAGAACGGCTTTAAAAAGCGAGAATGAAAGGGGGATGGAATGTAACTACTTCTGTTCAGTTGGATAAATGGGACACTGTTACCTGCCAGGCACCAAGCCCTGTGCTGGGTACCCACAGGTGAGCTTGGCAAGGATTCTGCCCCTCGGGGCTCAGTCAGGTGAGGACAGAGGCATAATAAACCATGTCCTAAATGGGAGCACACAGAGGGCTCCCAGAAAGGATTCTTTTTCACTGGTGGGAAGCTTTGCAGAGCAGGTGATAAGTTAAGAAATAAACTGAAGAATTCTAGGCTGATTGAATGCTACCTGCAAAGGCTCAGTTGTGAAAGGTAACTGGAGATGGAACATCTCTGTGTCATTTCTGTGGAGGGTTTGAGGGAACTGAGAAGGGGGTTGAGGCTGTGTTACTGAGGGTAGGTGGCAGAGTTTGCATGGCAAACTGAAGAGTCTGACTTTTCTTCTTGGGCCCTGAGAACCCAGGAGAGGCAAACGGTCTTAGTGGCTCCGAGCTTTGTGGTTGAGGAAGATGATCCGGGGACTGAAGGGGTGCTGGGGGAAAGGTGTGAAAAGTGGAAGGGACTGGTGCAGGAGGTGCTAGGGGGCGCTTTTCTTGATGATAAGGAAGGAGCCTACGCCTCTCCACAACCCTTTTAGCCATACTGTGAGACCTTTTTCCCAGAAGGGAGAATTAGGACCACTCACAAGTCTCACAGCCCTGTTGCCTCTCATTGTGTTGCCACCAAGATGAAACTGAAACAAAATTAGGTTGTGGCTGCAAATAGGACAAAAATGAGGGTCCGAAACAAGTGAGGAGGGAGGAGGCCAATGAAGTCCTCTCAGGACTACATGCTGTGTGCACGCTCTGAGGACTGCCTCGCCCAAGGCCTGGTTCACTTCTGAGTTGGCAAAGGGTTCGCACACATATTCTCCTCCTGAGCCCTCTCATCCAAGTACCAGGGCATCTTGCCCACAGTAAATCCCCAGGGCCTCTGAGCACCTGTGGACAGGCAGCTCTCCTCTTTCCAGCCCCATCCCGTTCCCTCCACACACAAGTGTCCAGCAGGAAGGGGGAGGGTAGCTCTGCCTCTAGGAGGCTGTAGAGCCTGAGCCTCACTCACTTGTCTGTCCCACGATTAGAGTACAGAGACTCTGGTTTCAGACAGGCTCCTGAGTATGCACACCTCCCAGTCAAGCCTGAAAATAACTGTGGATATGGATTCAAGAATAAAAACAACAACAACAAAAAAACCCCAAGCCAGTGTTATTCAGTAGGGCCCTAACAAGTAAGGAGTTGCACTGCTAACCCCAAGGCAGGTGGTTTGAATCCACCAGCTGCTCTGAGGGAGAAAGGTGAACAGTCTCTTCCTGTGTTACAGCCTCTGACAACCCTGGGAATCAGCTTCAACTCAATGGCACATGACAACAACCAGCATCAGACAGACAAGAACGTCCCCACTGTAGGGTTTTCAGTCCTTACGGAAGCCAGCTGCCACATCTTTCTCCCAGGGGGCAGCTGATGGATTTGAACTTTACCGAGTGCGGCTCTTTAACCACCAGAGGTCCTTGGATTTGAAAGTTCGCATAGGAAGTCTGAGACCTGTGGTTCTCATACCATTGTGGTTTCCAAACAGACACTTTTAAAGACTTTCTCAGTTCAAGAGGAAGAAAAGAGAAAACTGAGCAGATAGACGATAAGAAAGATCAGTGGGGGGGTTTTGTGCCAGCCACACGGTTAGCTTCTTCTCTGAGGTCGTCTCTATTACCTGCTTTGCAAGGCAGTGTGTGATTTCTATAAAGGTCTAAGAGGCCTCCTTTCCTTCTGAGAGCACAAACATTCCAGCTCGAGTTTCACTCTCTTTTGGCCCATGTTCTGAAATCACAGCATAGGGAGAGGCTGAAGGTATGCAGACTGGGAGAGGCCTCCAGGCTGGGAGGAGATGCAGAGGCCAGCAGGTGTCTAGCCCCCCACTTACAGCGAGGGAACAGAGCCCAGAGAGGGCAGGGAGCACACCCCAGCTCCCATGTCCACACAGTGAGACCAGACCAGGACCCAGATCCGCTGGCACCTTGGCCACTGCTCTCCATTATACCCTGTTCTCCTTCTCTGTTTATTTTTGCTTAGCAAGTACTTATATGGCCCTTACTATAGGGAGGCACTCATTTAATCATCATCATAATTTAAGATGCAAACACTGCTGTTGTTACTCCCATTTTGCAGACGAGGGAACTGGCAACTGAAGGAGCTTGTTGTGGTTTCTACCACAGAGTCTTGATGTGGTTTTTGCATTCATGTTGTCAGCTCCACCACTGAAGTCTTCACCTGAGTCTTTGGGAAGATAGGGCCACAGATGTTCTCTCACTTCCTAGTTCAGGAAGGTGATGCTTTGCGTCTTCTTGGGAAGAGCCTGAGGGACAGGAGCCTATATTGGAGTCCTGCTTCTGCTCCGAACTTAGACATATGCCCTTTAGGTCTCAGTTTTTCTGTCTGTCAAATGGATGCAGTCCGTTTAGCTGATCCCCTCAGGCCTCCTCCAGCCCTACCCATCTGTGATTTGATGAGCAGTTCTGGGAATCTGATTACCTGTGTTCACTTCTTGGAGTCACGTATTCAGTTATGCAATTGCTAAGCCGCCATGTCATGTGATAGAGTAGAGTACGAGGAGTTGGAAAGCAGCGCTGTTTGCGGCAGAGGCTTCTTAACGACACACTAAAAAAAAAAAGGGGGGGGGAGCAGTGCCCAAAACTTTCTATCGCTAACTCTCTTGGTCTGGAAAAACTCGGGCTTATCATGAGACTGCTGCACTTGGATTCCCAAGGGAGAGGAATGCTTCATGTGCTAAAAGTATCCGCTGTTGACTGATTCCCCAAGAGGCTCTGCCCTTTCTCAGTCTCTCTGGAGTTAAGTGGATGCGGCTCTGAAGCGGAGCCAGCGGCTGGGTTCAGATTGCCTGTGTGCTGGGCAGTGGGGGAAATGAGCAGGGCATGGAGGGGGCTGAAAATGACGGGTCACATGGACACTGGTGCAGGGAACAGTGTCCACGCTCTCGGATGACTGAGTTGCTGGCCGTACGGCGGGCCTCCGTGGATGCTGTTGTTAAGTGCCATCAAGTCAACTCTGACTCACAGTGACCCCGTGAGGAACTGAGCTCCATCCTCACAGCCTTAAACCTACTGTTGCAGACACTGTGTCAGTCCATCTTGTAGTTTCCTCCTGTTTTTCAGACTCTCTACTCAGCATGCTGTCTTTCTCCAGGAATGAGCCCCTCGTGATCACATGTTCAAAGTGTATGAGGGGACGTCTCACTGTCCCCACTGCTGAGGAGCATTCTGGCAGCCCCCCTTCATCCAACACACAATTGTTTGCTCTTTTGCCAGTCCCTGAGGCTGATCCCATTTAATCTTCTTGATGGGTGACTCGTCCTGTTTTAAAGATGGGGAAACTGAGGTTGAGGGAGGTGACAGAACCTCCCTCAGGATGAGACATACTTGGTGCTGGGATTCCAAACTGGACGGTTAACTACATCGTAACTACAGCTCCTGTGAGCGCGTGTGGCTCTCAACCTGGAAGGGAACTGAAAGCATAGGATGAAGTGTTGTGTTACCAGCAAATTGTTTTGCTCACTTCAGTTTCCTTTGAAGTCTTTTGATTTTCACCATCAATATATATCTTAAAAGAAAAGGAAAAACCATGATCCCAAGGAACTTAACAGTAACT